AATTACCCTCTCGTTCAACAAAGGAGGACCATTTCGCACAAGTACGATATCCTCATCCCAATCGACAGATACATAATCTTCCAAAGGCATATATAGGCTTTATTAGAATTGTCAATTGCTTGTTTTCGACATCTTAAATATTGTATGAATCCTAGAAGCTTTAGCGTACGAGAGTCGGTGCGTGTATGTAAATAGTGCTCAGTACAATACATCTCATAGCAAAGCTGACAAAAGATATCTTCGAAGAATCACGAAAAAAAAAAGAAAAAAAACTTCAGCTCAAAGACATTTTTCTATTCGAGTATCGCATTAGACTATTTGATTTAAAAACTTAAGTGAGTATAGATGACTCAAATGTATATTATTTACATTTAATTTTCAACATTAGAAAAAAGTAAATATGTAAAACTTGTAACCACATCATCAAAAAGGTCAAGTAATTCTTATCTTTACCATGCCTTTTGCATGCAACAATTTCATTTTTCGTTCAAAAAATCTTATATGCAATCCATTTTAACAAATAGTGAAACTCAAACTCAAGTTTTTTTATGAAGTGATATAACTACATTAATAATATCAGTTAAGATATTTGACGCGTGACAAAAACATGAATAGTAATATAATGTTCTTATTCGTAACACAGGAATACGAACTGGTGTTGCTCGAATTTCGCTCGGACGAATGTGAGAAATTAAAATTCACCAAATAATGGGTGAAATATTATTTATAAAAAAATGTCTATAGGGTTTACAAATTCATGTCATGTTTTTCAAAAGTCAAAACAAATTCTAATCAAATCGAAATTCGAATTTGGTAGACAAATCTGAATAAAACTAAAAAAAAATTACAAAAATTATGAAAAATGCTAAAACTGACCCCTAAATGAACCGAAATTTTGACAATATTGGCCATCATTGGACAAAATTTGCAAAATCGAAAAGAGCTTTCAGATTGTATTCGCTCGCGAAAATCCGACGCTTAAACTTAAAGTTACGTCAATCTTCATAGATTCCATCTAATTTCTTCTCTCTTTTAATTGATTTATGATTTTCTGTTTTCACCGTTCCGCATCAATATTAGTGAAGAATTGAGCCGAATTCATTTCAATTTTGTGGTCAAGACTGAAGAGGAATAAAAATTAAATTGGATTAAGCATAAAAAAAGTAGGTCTGTTTTGGTAAAAGTGAATAGAAGTTCCATTCCCCGTGATATAACTAGTATACTGCTAGCTTTACCACTTGTACATTTACATCAAAATTTAATGAACAGTACGTCAAATTCATTATGGACCCTACGTTGGCACAACCACACGATAATTACTTGCAATCATGTTTTGTGTACAATGTTCTTAACAACATTATTGACAACAGTCACGTGACATGTTGTTATTGGATAGTTTAAAAAATAATTTATTTATCCAGCCAATATTTTTTTGACATCTACAACATTGTCAACAATGTTGTCAAAAAATATTGTACAAATAAATTTATTCAATTACTTGATGGAAAATGTCACTTGTAAACTCTTTTCTTGACATGATTGTTAACGTTGGAAGTATTAATTGGGTAAAAATACTGTGAAAATTTTAAAATGTCCGATGATGAGTTGTCATTTGATAAAATATAAAAAATAATTTAAAAGATGATGTATACCACGATGGCTACTTATGTGTCATCAAACCTTTTACTTGGCTAAAACCTCATCCACGTATCACTCCCACATTTATCAGCAACCAGATTTTCCTGCCCCCCTCTCTCTCTCCTGACTCGGATAGACATACAAACTGTTATTGGCATTGCACACACCACTAGTTAAAAGCCTAATCATCATTATTAGAGAGAGGGAGAGTGAGCAAAATACTTTTGAAGTATGAAAATGGGACTAGGACAAGATGGTGGAGGAGTAGCCAGGGCCAAGTGTTCACTGGCAGGGTGGAATGTGGCGGCGAAGCATTGTGACTACTGCAAATCTGCGGTGGCACTGCTATTTTGTAGGACGGACTCGGCTTTTATGTGCATGGCATGTGATTCCAAGGTCCATGATGTGAATAGCGAATCCTTGGCTTTATCTTCCACATCGAGGCACGAACGTGTGTGGATGTGCGAGGTGTGCGAACAAGGGCCGGCTAGTGTCACGTGCAAGGCGGATGCTGCCGTTCTCTGCGTCGCCTGTGATTGTAACATCCATTCCGCGAACCCCCTAGCCAGTCGCCACTTGCGGGTCCCAGTCATGCCCTTTTACAACGATGCTGAGTCCTTGGTTAAGTCCACTGCCGCATCCCTCTTGGTGCCTGACTTGACTAGTAACATCTTGTACACAACCTCGAATGTTCAACATGACAAAAAAAATTTCAACACACAGGACAGCTTTGTTACTGATCGTTGGATTTCTCAAAACCCAATTACTACATCGAGACTTGATACGGATACAACGGACATGAAATCCATGGAATTCTTGTTTTCCGATGATCAATTACTGGACTTTTACAATCCAATTTCATCGCAACAACCTGACAGTGTTGTTCCAGTACAGACCATGGAATCTCCTGTCCCAACAAAATTGACTGATCATTCATCAGAAAATCGATTCGAAATTGATTTCACGAGATCCAACATTAGTTCTTACAACAACAGCTACACTACCCCATCTTTTAGCCAAAGTGTAAATACCATAATCACCTTCTTCTTCTTCACATATAAATATTATGTACACAATTTTCTTAATTTTTTGCAAAATTTCAGGTTTCATCATCTTCAATGGATGTCGGGATTGTGCCCGAAGGGAGCTCTTTTTCAGAATCATCGTACCCTTTCGGCGTCGATCTGAGTGGAAATCAAGGTTCCCAGATTGTTGGATTGAACAGGGAAGCAAGAGTTTTGAGGTACAGAGAGAAGAGAAAGAACAGAAAATTTGAGAAAACTATAAGATATGCATCCCGAAAGGCGTATGCGGAAACAAGGCCAAGAATCAAAGGCCGTTTCGTGAAAAGAACAGAACCAGTTGAGTCTGATATTGATCAAGTTTTCATCACTGATGAAAGATACCATATAGTTCCCTCATTCTGACGGCAAAGATGGATCAAAACTCCAAATGTATATTAGTAATTCATACTATTTCTTATATTTTTCAATGTAATGAAAGCTGAATTTCTTGTCTGTGATATAATTAAACGACGCAGATATTAGTAAAAATCTTGTTCTTCTCAACAGAAAGTGAAATTGCAGGGTATCATCAATTTCTGCAATCTGAAAAGCCTGTCTGGCTGCTTTTTGTTGAAAGGCTTTTGTGTAAGTTTGTAACTTTATTTTAATTTTTAACGATTGATCCTCGTCTTTACTTTATTCGGAGTGATTATGGTTTGTAGATCGATCATCTGTGTAAACTTAGAACATTTCAAATCGTGGTGTAAAATGGGTATCTATAAAATCACTTTTCATCTTCTTTTACTTCTTGGTGAATCATAATTCAAATTTCGCTTCAATAAGAAGATCTGAACTGACTTTTTACCTCTCATGGAGGTAACATTTTACGTCGGCTTCCCACTCCACGCCCTACCCTCCACCTAAACCCGACCAAATTAACCAACTGCCACAGCCCCTGCCGCCATCGCCGTCGGCCGCCTGCCATAGCCAACACAAAATATAAGCTTGGCCAAACATTTGAGAAACCCCAACCTCTCACAAACCCAAGTCCTTTTCCTCAGTGTCGAAACTGATAGAATCCAAATTTCAGGAGCAAATTTTCACACTGAAAATACATGAAAAACTGATTCTGAAGCCACCAGCTTGGCTCCTTCTTCCCCAATTTCTGAATCTGCAAAAGATGGTAGTCCCAAATTCAAGCTCACTTTTTTCCCATTACTGCTTCTCCTTCATCATTTTTATCACTCACTACCGGTACAAATTCAAGCTCATTTTTTGCTAAATAGCCCGCAAATCCTCAAATTTATAACTAGCCGGAGAAAAGGAAACAGCAAAAATGTACCAAGGGAATTTTGTGCGATTTTGCAAAAATGCACCATGGGTTCCAGATCCAGTTACTCTCAACGAGGTTTTGTTGTCTGTAGAAGATGATATTAATGTTGTAATATTTAAGTGGATAAACTACTAGGTTGAAATACAAACTTCTGTATTTGTTAACTGTAAGGAAAACAACTTACGAAAACAACAAGGAAAACAACTTGTTAGCTGCAGTAAAACAACAAAATAAGAAATATAAATTGCAGCAAAAAATAAATTCCCAAACCGAGGCATGTGCGAACACAGTTTCCTTAAAACAAATTCATCACATCACCATTCGTGCTTGAGGTATAATTTGAGCGTCTATTTCTCAGGATACAACGGTTCACCAGTAACATCTGAACACAACAGTTTTTACTCCGGCAAACTGAGTTAGTGCTCCAACACTATCNCAACAGTTTTTACTCCGGCAAACTGAGTTAGTGCTCCAACAATATCACCACCAGCAAATCGAAATAAGATTTGAAAGGAAAACAGTATGCAAGACAGATAGATGCAGAATATAGAACTGGAGTTTCGACAGTGTGCAAAACTGGAGGAAATTTCGTGTGTTTGAACTGGAGGAAAAATGTTCTCTTATATATACTTTTAATTCCCAAAGTCTCCATAACCCACTTGTAATAACAAAGGGAGTTTCAGAAGTTTTTGGAGTTTCAAAAACCCAAAAGTCAGTTCTAAAAAGTAAAAACAAAATCCAAAACGTAGACCCACCTGAGGGGCCAATTTTTGGTCAATCCGGTTCGATATTCGTGTGTGCAGGTCGGGCTCGCATACAAATTCAAGATTCGAAGCCCATTTCGGTCAGTAATTTGCACCCCCCCCCCTTTGCGTGCACGTGGAGATAGCCTTTATGCTANACAACAGTTTTTACTCCGGCGAACTGAGTTAGTGCTCCAACAATATCACCACCAGCAAATCGAAATAAGATTTGAAAGGAAAACAGTATGCAAGACAGATAGAAGCAGAATACAGAACTGGAGTTTCGACAGTGTGCAAAACTGGAGGAAATTTCGTGTGTTTGAACTGGAGGAAAAATGTTCTCTTATATATACTTTTAATTCCCAAAGTCAGTTCTAAAAAGTAAAAACAAAATCCAAAACGTAGACCCACCTGAGGGGCCAATTTTTGGTCAATCCGGTCCGACATTCGTGTGTGCAGGTCGGGCTCGCATACAAATTCAAGATTCGAAGCCCATTTCGGTCAGTAATTTGCACCCCCCCCCCTTTGCGCGCACGTGGAGATAGCCTTTATGCTA